GTTCAGATCTGTTTTCCATTGATCCACACAGTGGCACCATGTTCACTTCAAGTGCTCTCCGGAGAACAGAAGATGTTATTGTCAACATACACGTGGAAGATACTGGAGAAAATCCTAAATTTGACACTGCAACCGTGAGTATCAGGTTTCAAAACATCTCTGACTTTCCGGAGATGAATGTGGATGTTCTGAGCTATTCCCTCTCTGAAGACGAGCCAGTGGGAACGTTAGTGGCATTGCTCTCTGCTGTGAGCGTCAGAGCGGAGCCCGTCTCTTTTTATCTGGCGTCTGGAAACTTTGAAGAGGTGTTTCATGTGGAGCAACTAACTGGAGCACTGACGGTGGAGAATCCTCTGGATTATGAGAACAAAAAGGAGTTTACTTTGTTGGTAGAAGCCAGAGATTCTGGCTCCCCTCCTTTCTCATCATTTGCAGAGATTCACGTAAACATCAGCGACGTCAATGACAACTTCCCACAGTTCACTCAAGCAGAGTACAGGTGTGAGATTTTCGAGAATTCCCCGCCATCCTGGGTTTGTGACATTCTGGCCATCGACGCAGACTCTGATGGTTACGGCACGGTGCGGTACAACATAACCGAGGGAAACAGTGATGATTTTTTCGCAATCGAGCCTGAAAGTGGTTTTTTGAGCACCACTGCAAGTTTGGACAGAGAAACAATCCCTGAATTTAGTTTGACAGTTGAAGCTTCCGAGCTGGAAAATCCTCTTCGCAAAGACAGAGCAACTGTTGTCATCATTGTTTTAGACAGAAATGACAACACTCCTCGTTTTTCACGTGTTTTCCTCACGCAGGTACCCGAGGATGCCCCTATTGGACACACAATCATACAGATCACCTCTGCTGATGATGACACCAGCCCCAATGCAGTTATTAATTACTCCATAAGTGATCAAATGGAAGATCTGCCATTCCGTATTGAATTTACCACTGGCTGCATCACAGTTGAGAGACTCCTGGACAGGGAGACGCAGGATTATTATGTCCTGAAGGTTAATGCCAATGATTCTGCGTGGAGCATTAGCACAGATGTCACTATAGTTGTTACAGACATTAACGATAATAGACCAGTATTTACTGATCCTTTTTACAAGGCTGTCCTCACAGAAACAAAAGATAAAGAGGTGTTTGTTATGCAGGTTCTTGCCACAGATGCAGATATCAGGGAAAATAGTGACATTTTATATGTCATTGAACCTCCAAACGAGGAGTTCTGGGTTAACGCTACCTCTGGTGAAATCTATACAAAGCAGCCATTGGTGTTACAGAAATCTACCAGTTTACTTGCTTTTGAAGTCCGCCAATTTACAGTGACGGCTGTTGATTGCGGCAGCAATCCCCTGCAAAGTAACGCAACTGTCACCGTAAGATTAGAGCCTTATAACCACCACCCACCGTTATTTCTGATGCATCAGCCTCTGGTTGCGATCCCGTACCACATGGCTGTCGGAACTGAGGTGGTCCAGTTCACAGCAATAGATGTGGATGTCAGTAATAGCAGTGCTAATATTCTGTATGCTTTGAATGGAGGTAATGCATCTGATTTCTTCTGGATCCAAGTGGACAGTGGGAAAGTGAAGTTAAAGAGAAGTTTGACAGAGAGCATTCATTTGTTTCTCACTTTAATAGTTGTGGCAGAAGACCAGGGCACACCGTCTTTATCGTCGCAGACTGAAATCACTTTTGAAATCACTGGGAGGAATCAATATTCTCCGAGCTTTCCAGAGCCAGAGGTTACTTACTCCGTTCCCGAGGACTTGCCGGTAGGATCGGTAATTGGAAGAGTTCAAGCAGAAGATAGGGATGACGGTGTCAATGCTGCTGTTGTGTACTGCGTTCAACCAGAAAGTCTACTGTTACCATTCTCTGTCGGAGAAACCTCTGGGCTGCTAACACTCATCAGAGAGCTAGACTTTGAAAAGGAAGTTGTTCATCATCTCCACATCAAAGCCATGGATGGAGGCTGGGACACAAAAACAGGATGGCTGAATGTTACAGTTGTGGTTATAGACGTGAATGACAATCCCCCAGTCTTTTTCTCCTCTGAGTATCTCACTTCAGTGACTGAGAACTCTGAAATTGGAACAAATGTCATACATACAAAGGCCACTGATGCTGATTCAGGTCCAAATGCACGTATATCTTACTCTCTTATTGCTGGTCACGTGGATAAATTTGCTATTGACTCAAAGAATGGCACAATCACCACTTTGGATGTGTTTGATTACGAGCGAGAGCAGATCTTTGATGTGACGATCAAAGCCTCAAACATTGTTGGTCTCACTTTATTTACTTTGGCTCATGTTGTCATTCAAATCTTGGACATAAACGAGTTCACACCCACGTTCACAAAAAAAGAGTTTAACTTTTCAGTATTTAAAAATGTGCCTGTGGGAACTGTGATAGGAAAAGTAACAGCCACAGATGATGACCAAGGCTCTGCAGGTCAGGTGTTTTACTTAATGTTTGGGCAAAAAAAAAATATGGGCTTTAAAATTCACAAACTCTCTGGAGAAATTTACATAACCAGCAGTTTGAGGAAACAAGGCAACAGTCAAATAGTTGTAAAAGTTCTGGCGAAAAACGCTGGTGTCATTACTGGCATGGATATAGACGAAACCTTGGTCCACATCAGAGTGATCGACACAAACGATGCACCGGTGTTCACCTCTGCACGTTATCTGGCTAATGTGACAGAGGACAGCCCGGTCGGGACGTCTGTGATGACTCTGAGTGCCTTGGATCAGGACTCCATCTTGGACTGGAGCCATTTTTTCTTCAGCATCGAAAGTGGAAACACAAACTTCTCTTTTGTTGTTGATCCCCTCAGTGGTGTGGTTTCAGTAAATTCTCCACTTGACAGAGAACTGTGGGCGGTTTATAACCTGACTGTTACAGCCACTGATAACGGCTCTCCACCAGCCACTGGAACCAGTAATGTCATTGTGACCGTTGGTGACGCTAACGACAACTCTCCCGAACTCACAATAACTGAGGCTCAGGTGAAGGAAAATCAGCCTGGTGGCACCATCGTAGCCAGATTAAATGCGTCTGATACTGATTTGCCACCAAACCAGGGACCTTTTACTTACTGGCTGGTAAACCCTTCTGGTGCCTTTTCACTGACTCCTGATGGAGTTTTATTTACCACGAGGCCCACTGATCGGGAACAAACCTCTGTGTATCAAGTTCTGCTCGCTGTCAGAGATGCTGGGATTCCTGCACTGTCGTCCACGACCATGTTCCACATCAGGATTGTGGATGAAAACGATAACCCTTCGCTGCCCAGGAACATCTTCATCGAGGTCAAATATTTTGGCAGTTCTTTCCAAGGAGGCATGATCGGTAACGTCCACCCTGAGGATCAGGATGAGTCTGACACATTTATCTGTGGAATAAAAAGCGGATCGCTGAACATGTTCATGATACCTAACGGCACGTGTGAGCTGTGGTCGTCTCCTTTTCAAGGTGAGGCCACATTCAACATCACAATCGAAGCCACAGACCAGCTTCACTTCCCAGTCAACAACAGCATCTATGTGAAATACAAAGGTTTCACAAATGCTTCTATAGACAGTTGTATTTTATTTTACGTGTCATCATCCTCAATGGAAGAGTTCCTGTCTAACAAGTATCTGAGATTTGTGAAAGCATTGGACAGTCTGTTTAACCTGCAGGCCTCTAAGACTCATGTATTTGGAATCAAACACATTGGCAGTGAAATCCTTCTGTTGGCTGCGGTCAAAAATTACAACGGTGAATATCTTAGCACAGAGGTAGCGAGCGGAGTCTCTGCTGGACACAGGAAATTACTGGAGTCTCAGAGTGATGTGATGATATCTCACATCACAAGCGATCCATGTCTCACCAGCCCCTGTCAGAACGGAGCCACATGCAAGAAAAACATTTACATCAGCCAGGACGTCGCTGCCCTGGAGAGCCTGGGCGTCATCTTTGTGTCACCACAGAAAGAGGTTTTTAATTGCACCTGTCCAGCCGGCTTCACAGGGACGCTGTGTGAAGACGACATTGATGAATGTGAGGTGAAGTTCTGTCAGAATGACGGCACATGTGTGAACACAGCGGGAAGCTTCTACTGTCATTGTCAGAGCGGCTTCTCTGGCTCTGTCTGCTCCATTGATGTAGATGAATGCCTGAAGTTGAAGTGCGAGAATGGAGGAACCTGTTTGCCCAAAGACGATAGATATTACTGTCACTGTGCCCCTGGATTTGAAGGTAGACACTGCTATATTTCAAAGAATAAAAAATACCATCATTCAGGCCAGGATCTCTTAAAAGTGTAAACCTTATTTGCCTTTTTTCCAGGAGAAAAATGCGAGCAGTTCATAGATCACTGTAGATCAACCCCCTGCGTTCAGGGCAAGTGCATCAATTCACAAACAGGATTCTCTTGTCAATGTCCCTTTGGTAAGAAAAATGCATACATTTTGGGAACATTATGCCTTTGCTCTCTTGCAGACATTTAGATAAGAAGATACCAGTCGTAAACACAACCTCCTTGGTGGAGACATGAGTCTGTGCCAGACTATTTCTTGGAACCTGCTTGGAGCATCTACATCAAGCCAAGAAATTCTCTGGCACATGACCCCTTGTAAAACAGCAAACTATAATGTAATATATTTAACTGACTGAATATGAGAGTGGTTTTAATCCTCTTATGTAACTCTCTGGAAGAAAGTAAATAATTAATTCCATAAAATATAATCTACCAAACTACAGCAGAAAACATTAAAAAGCATTAACGTTTTCATCTCTATATTAGGAGTCAGTGGAGTCCACTGTGAGGAGCACAGCTATGGCTTTGAGGATCTGTCCTTTATGGAGTTTCCCCCATTAGACCGCAGGACTAATTTAATCTCTCTAGAGTTTGCGACAGTGCAGAGCGACTCCCTGCTCCTCTACAACCCTGGAGGACCCTCCAGCAGGGAGTTCTTTGCACTGGAGATAATAGACGGAACCATACAGCTCTCCTATGACCTGGGCTCAGGGCCTGTGAGACTGCACACAAACAAGCAAGTGGCAGATGGACATTTTCACAGTGTCGCAGCCAGGAGGATTGGAAATGTGAGTTTAAAACACGACGCCACTTAAACACAAAGTCAACGAGAACGTCTTTTTAAGTTGTAAGTGACAGAAACGAATCCAAAGACTGATGTGACGCCGTTTGTTTTTTAACAGATGGGCTCTTTACATGTGGACAACTGCACAGATGTTGACAACAGTGGATTTTGTTTTTCACAGAGTGATAGCAGTAGCTCAGAGAGGTAACAGTGAAACTACTTCTCAATAAATCACATGTTCTGTTTTTTGCCTTGTATTATATTTGTTAACATCCTTTATGTGTCTTTACACGTAACCAGGACATTAGACGTCGGTGGCAGTAATGTCACATTTGGAGGACTGAGGACTGTTGAATTTATTCTGCTGCCTCCTGCTCAGATAAAAACCCACGACTTTGTTGGATGTATTCGAAACATTCATGTTAACGGTATCCTGCTCAGAGCTGCAATGGCCCTCGCAACGTATAACATTCTTGATAAGTAAGTTAAAACATGAACATTCTTAAGTACCTTATTATTCAGACATCTTTGTACAGAAAATACAGTGTATCTCTTATTTTTGAACATCTCGTATTTCTTTTATAAAGATGTCCTCGAGCAGTGTCTCCATGTCAAAGTGACCCATGTGAAAATGGGGGTGTGTGTCATGATCTCTGGTCGGATTATCTTTGCGAGTGCAAGAGCCCATTTATTGGAAGAAAATGTGCCAAAGGTAAACAAAAAAAGATAATGAAACACTAATCATACACATCTCTGATCATTTTGCATGTTGGATGAGAATCTAAACAAATGAAATGCCTTTTGCATAATAATGACTTTTGTTTTGTTTTTGAGTAAAAGATTTTTTCCCCCTGAATAAACAGAATCATCAGAGGAAGTTGTATTGCGATTCACTGGGAATGACTACATAGAATATGTGATCAAGGAGAAATTCAAGAGAGACTTCCTGCTGAAACAGTTGCTGGATGATAAGAAAGAGGGAAACGACCAAAACCAAACAGGGATTAACATCAAGTTTAAGACCAGAAACAACGGAGTGTTAATATCTGTTATGGGACAGACGGGCTATATCATGCTGAAGGTTGGTATGAAAGACATTTAGATGTATACTCGTCTTATTCTTGGAACAACGTATGTTTGTTTTCTCTCTCATTCAGATTAAAGACGGGAGGCTTGTGTTCCTCTCTGAAGACGCAGTGTCAGGACACCAGTCAGATTTCACCCTGGACTCTCCGGTGGCTGACGGGGTCTGGCATGTCGTATCCTTGTTCGGCAAAGGACAGATCCTCTTTCTCGCTCTGGATGGAAAACCAGTCTGGAACATCACTGACCAAAGTGTGGATCTCACTCCTGTTCATGTGGAAAAGATTGTTCTCGGTGCTCCTCTGACACTTGATTCAAAGCTCCAGCAGTCAGGTGATGTTTACTGTGGCTATTGTAATTTTTTGTAAAGTGTAAAGTGTGAACAGGGGTCATAACACATCATAATATTTGTGATAACAAAAGTAGAAATGATAGAAATAATCTGTCCACTGATAATGAATTAATCTTGGACACGACTTCTGTACAAACACTGTCAAACAACAGTCATCTTACAGAGCATGTGTCAGGCTAAAGAAATGGTAAGAAATGAGCATCTTTGTAGTTTTATAAGACAAAGTTTCATCATTAATTATTTAAATGTAAATATTCTTAGGAAGAGGCAAAATAAAAAGTTTCTTGTTGCATCTTTTCTGATGCTACAATATGTCACCTGACTTTTTTTGACTTTTTCCATGGAGAAATGTATTTATTTCTCAGGTAATGTTATCTCTTATTTGTATGGGAACAGAGTTTGTGGTGTATTCAGTCCTTTCCCTTTAAGGCTGTAATGAACTTCCTTACTTTTTTTGGCAGGGTTCACTGGATGTGTGCAGTATCTTAATGTGAGCGGTCACACTCTGCCTGTCAGCGGAAGCAGTGCGATGGCGGACATTTGGCTGAGCTGGACTCTCATGCAGTCCAGCTGCATCTCCCCTGGTGTCTGCCTCCCCTCGCCCTGCTCTGAGGAGGACGCTGCAAGGAGGGTTTGTCTCTCTGGACAGTGCCAGAACCGGTGGAGGTGTGGACCGACCGTGCAGAACAGCTCCTGCATCTGTTTACATAATGTGTCCGGCCACGCCTGTGATATCTGCATCTCTGCTAAAGACAGCCAGGATCAGTGCTCTGGGGCTGGCAGCGGGCATCTGTGGCTCATTGCTGTGATTCTTCCCCTAATCTCCATCCTGGTTTTTCTAGGAATGTTTGTTGTTCTTCGTAAAGTGAGGCGGAACAATGCAAAGTGTCTGAGTGAGAGCTTGGAGCAGAAGACAGAGCCAGGGACAGAAAATGCTGCTTTTTGTTTTGATGACAACCGTCCACTCACAAATGCTGCATCTGCAGAAAGAGAGGGACAGAATGACTCAGTGAGGGCTGATCAGCAGAGTTCGGAGTTGTACTGTGATGCCTGTCCATCAAGTGCGCAGCCAGAGCCAGTCAGTGAGCTGGAGTATTATGAAATCAGCAGCATCTCTAGTGCGTTTCACTCGGATACTGCCTCACTCAGACTCAGCTGGCACAAGCATCTGTACGGCACAAAGTGTGTGAACACTGATCCTAGACGGTGTGGCGATTTGAAGATGCTGTCTGCAGGATTTAAGAAAGAAGTCTCTGGTGAGGAGAGGCAACAAAGTCCAAAGAAACCTCGAAACATGGACACACTAAACAAACTGTTATTACCTATGATTGATGCAGTGCAGACACAGCATTCACCTCCTTGTTACATGAAGAGGATCCCACAACCCGAGCTTCCAGAACCTGTGCAGTGCCTCACTTTTGAAGAAATAAGTAAATTGAATGCTCCTCCCGAGCAGACATTGTCTAATCAGGTACTCCTGAGTTGCACCCCGATGATGGATGTCTCATCCGACAGTGACACAGACAGCACGTCCACCTTATCAGAGTCGGAGCATGGACAAGTTTCTGTCATCAGCACCAGGAAATATGGACACCAACAATCAAACCTCTCAACACATAGCTGCAGACAACCTTTCCCTGTGAGCAAGTCATTTAAACTCTCTGCTGCAGGTCAGCATGAAGATGACAACACTCCCTCCAGTATGTTTAAGCACTGGGAAACTATTTTTAACATGCATCTACCTTATAGCAGCTATGTGCCTGTATTTGAAGATATTGCACGTTTACCCATGGAACCCAGTCGTAGTTATGATATGCAAAGCGACATAGAGGAAATTATTTGATGGTCATTATACATATGTTACTTTTGTAAATCCAAAATTAATGACACAGAAACCCTAAGTTTTAGTTTGGACTGTAACCAGGCTCTGAAAAAGCTGTGAAATAGTATATCTTTCAATCTTTTCATTTGTGCTGGTTTGCAAGACAAGTCTTAAAATGTATCATCATAGCAACCAGAGAATGTATTTGTTAATGATGTTAAATTAAATAAATCACATATAAGAAGGAATATTTGACATAAATGTTACACTTATGGTTAATTTGTCACCTCTTGTATCTCCTTCTGTATCAACCTCAGCATCATTTGGCACATAAACATTCAAGGTGCTGTTACATGTTCACATACAATTTAGATTGCATGTTGATTTAGTCAAAAAACAATATAATGGCTGCTTTCCCTGTGAGTGAGTGTGAACTTGGATGAAAAATTAATGATGATGATGTAATGACAACTGTAGATGAAGCTGCATTTAATATGATGGAACAGCATCTTGTGCTTGTTGTGCGGGGATAGGGAAATAGAGCTGAGATTCAAACTGTCAAATTATGACTCTGCTACACCTGTCTGGGATAATTGTGCATTTAAATGCTTCACAATTGTGATAAAGAGGCAGAACATTTAAAGCAAATAAGTGCAAATGGTAAATTCACTTAAAATCTTCGGGCGGGATTCTGATAAATTGTCCTGTACTGTACAAATGAGTGGCAATGCAGCTCATAAACTGATGGTTTGGCTCCACCGAGTGGATAAATTCAAGGTTACACCAAGAGATGATATAATAATAATAATAATAATATGAAGAGGTTTCACAAGTCCTCTAAAAAAACAAAAATTTTAAATACAATACCATACAGCCTAACCTTAGCCTAGATATTGAAAATCTACAGTGTGCAAACACAAAGAAATATTGATGGTGAATATACCTAATGATGTGGAGACAGTTATTCTCTTCTTTTTTTACAGGTTTATTTTGCATTCGTATGTGCAGACCATAACAAGTGTATGTTTCAAAAACTATATACAGATACAAGATGGATTTATATAGAAAAACAGCTGATTGGATCTTTAACTGACTCATTATACAACCATTATATAACAAGAGGATTCTGCTCGGCACTCCATGTTACAACCTCAACATGCACATTTACTTGAGAACACGCTTATGGTCAGTTTTGTGTGCGATGCTTATCTTTCTATTTCTAAACCTCTGTGTCAAAGCCATTTTGATGTCCTTAGTCTTGAGACAGTAAATCACTGGATTAACCATAGCGGGTATGAGGCTGTACATCATCGTGATAACAACACGAGCTTGAATGCTGAATGTGAATCCTAAGTTGTAAGAGAGATAAACAAAGCATCTTGGCACGTAGTAAAGACATGTGACAAAGATCTGAGGAGCACAGGTGGACATGACTTTGTGGCTCTGAGACATTTTCAGAGCAGCAACGATGATAGAAAAGTAAGAAAAAATGATGAATGCTAAAGGAACCAGGAGGGTGACCAAGGCATTTGCGAATGAAACTTGTTTCACATATGCAACATCTTCGCCACATCCCAGCTGAGTTATCGATATGTGGTCACAGTAGCACTGCATGATGACGTTCAGGTTGCAGTATGGCAGAGTTAAGGCGTGGAGCACGATCCCCAACATACGGATGAAGGTTAAAACCCAGCATAGGAGACAAGCAATACAAATGGTTGTGTTTGTGACCAAAACAGGATATCGGAAAGGAAACCATATGGCAACAAAACGATCCAAAGCCATGATCAGCAGAAGGAAGGAATGAATGGCTCCCAAAGAATGAACAAAATACATTTGTGCAAAGCAGGTTCCAAATAATGATATCATGTCATTCCACCAATATCTAGCAATGATTTTTGGCAGCGTCACTAAGCCAAATGCGATGTCTGTCATTGCAAGGTGAAAAAAAATCAAGTATGTTGGCTTGTGAAGAGTCTGCTCGTATATGATAACAGTTAAGATGAAACTGTTGCCAACCAAAATAGCGAGGAGGAGGAGGAGAAGAAGAACAGACACTGGTCCATAATACTCAGGCGGAAGTCCAGGGAATCCCACGATAATAAAGTCTTTTATATTTGTGGAGTTTGTGAATTTCATTATCACCTGTATACAAAAAGAAGCCTTTAAAAAGTAATGTAAATTAAATAACACATACAAGCCTGGAAATGACAAAAGGATGAATTAATACTGAAGTAGTGATATCAAAGAAAGGATTCAGCCTGTAGTATTTCTAAGAATAATCCACAACCTATCACAATCACATGTCACATATCATCTGTGTGTACTAAAGCTTTGGTCTGGCTCCATCCTCAGGCTCTATTTAAATAGATAAGAATGCTCCCAGCAGAGCTCTGATGATGTGTGTGGTGGAGACGAACAGTCACAGGAGATAATTCCCTCAATTTGCAGAAGTGTCTGTTTACATTGTGGAAAACACAGTGAGGTAAAAAAAAAACATTTGTGCACACATAGAGGATCTCTTAAAAGAGTAAAATTCCTATCTGCCCAGTTTTATGGTTTGCTTAAAATTATAGATTCTTCAAAATTTTTGTTAATCCTAGTTTGTTGATCATAAAAAAATAAATAATTTTCTCGACGTCATCAAACATTTTATCTACAAAGATAATGAAAGCCTTAACTGTGACATTTGACACTCAGATTTTTTAAACACTCACCCCCTATGATACTGACCTTGTTAAACAATATTTTTCTTTATCTTGCCTCCTGACGAGTCTTCAAATTTAAAATGATTCACTTAAATAACTGGAATAATCTGCAGACGCAGTATTGAATGTTTTTTGCAGTGGGTAAATGAGGAGAAAATTGTCATCTAATTCATTAAATTACTCTTATTTATTTTAAACCGAACCGCAAAATGCAGCACCTGATGAGAAGTAGCATTTAAGAATGATTGTAACAGTCCTTGCCATTCAAAATATCTTGCAACACATTCACAAATCTCATTACACAGTGGTATTATGATTGAAACGTAGACCTTCCCTCGTCTGAGCCTGTTTTCCTGACAATCCTGTGTCTCTGTGCAAGAGACACAATCATTTTATTGTTTGACCTTTCCAGGTAAAAATAAAACTTGGTTAGCTGAGTTTTCTCCATCTATGGTACAAATCTGGTGGCTGTGTGCATCCGAGTGAATAAAACACAAACATCTTCTGAAATAAATATCTTGTGTGCGTCAGATACCAGTGTTCATCAACACCAGGACTCAGGTAACTTGTTTTTCATTTAAATGATTATTATTAATAATGAAGTAATTGACACAGTGTCCGTGAAGTCGTCTGTGTGGCTGCATTTTGTTTAAATGACCAAAATGTGGAGTCTAAACTATAAACAGCCATTTGACGATGAACATGGCAACACCACGTCACATCACAACATCAGGATAATTTGTCAGCTTTAAACTTAGTTTATCAGAATATTTGAATGCATTTGGTGTAGCGATAGTTTAAACTGATTTATAATAAACTGATTTATAATAAACTGCAAATAGTAGCTTTCTATGTTTTTCGTAATATATTTAGATTCATAAGGCTGCCATATTTTTTGAGTGTGTCATACTCATTCAGTCGACTGGGATTAAAGGTCCAGTGTGTAAGATTTAGGTAAGAGGAAACTACTGGCAGAAATTGAATGTAAAACATTTCTCATGATGTTTTCACTAGTTCGTTTCATCTAAATTGTATGAATTGTAGTTTTCTTTACCCCAGAAAAGGCCCTTTATATTTAAATACTTAACATTTACATCGAGGGGACCCTCTCTATGGAGNTATTTATCATAATAAATAGCAATACATTTTATTCTTGCACTTTTTACAACAAGCTGCAAAGTAGTTTACAATTAAACATCACACCCACTCAAGAAGAAACAATACAACTGTGCTAAACAATATAACATAACAAGACAAGGAAACAAGAATAAAACAGTTAAATGAAATACCAAAGTACAAATTGCAGTTAAAGTTGTCTGGTATACAAATGTTTGTGTTATAGAAATACTTTCGATTTCTTTTCCAAAAAAAGGTCAGTCACCTCTACAAGCAGCTCAAGGGTCTCAAGGTGCTTTGTTGTTTCTGTGATTAGGAGCTTAATATTCATCACCTTCAATTTGAAAATGAATTCTGAAACTCATTGCGATGTGGCACATTTGAAATATTTACTGCGCATTGCTCTATAGTTTTGTATTTTATCAAGTGCGAATATCAATTTTCCTATTGAACAATTTCTTTTTCAAGTTCTCCTTTATATCCTTGGTTTTGAAACAGTATATCATTGGATTGACAGCAGCAGGTAAAAGACTGTACAGCATTACAACAACAATGCGAACCGGAACACTGAAAGTGAATCCCACATTATTCGCCAGGTACACAAAGCATCTTGGCATATAATAAAGAAACGTGATGAGGAGCTGCGGCATGCACGTGGACAGAGTCCTGACACGACCCTCAGAGCTGGAAATACGCCCAACAGCGACAATGATGACAAAATAAGAGAATACAATAAAACCAAGAGGGACCAACAAACTGAACATGGCAAAACCAAACGCAATCACCTGCACTTCTCGCACATTCTCACATCCGAGGGCTGTAATTGCGATATAGTCACAATAGCACTGAATTATTATGTTTGAATTGCAATAAGGCAAAGTAAGAGCATTGAAAAGTACACCCACCATCCACAATACTGGCAATAACCATGACATTCCACAGAGAACCGAAACTTTGGTGTTTGTCAAGAGAGTTGTGTAACGCAGTGGAGCACAAATTGCAATGAAACGATCGAGAGCCATCACCATCAGGATGAAAGAATGAGCGGTCGCTAAAGAATGAACAAAATACATTTGTGCAAAGCAGCTGTAAAATGAAATGATGCTGTCATCAAACCAGTATTTTGATATGATCTTTGGAAGAGTTACAGTCCCAAATGCTAAGTCAGTAAATGCAAGGTGGCAGAAGATCAGATATGTAGGTTTGTGAAGAGCCTTTTCACATTTCACAAACACTAAAATAAAAATATTTCCTCCAACTATAGCCAGGTAGAGGAGAAACAGAAGGGCTGACACGGGTTTGTAAAGGTCCAGTGAAAGTCCAGGGAATCCAATGATGAAGAAATCCTTAATCCTTGTCACATTCGTGTTGAACATATTTGCTCAAATTTGCAGCAACAAACACACGTCAAATAGAAAAGAGAGATAAATAATATTACGTGAAAAATAAAGCTTGACAATAAATATAACTCCTTCAGATCTAGCACAACACAGTTATTTAATTCTACGTAGTTTTCTTATTTTGTAAAACGTATAATAGATAAGTGTCAATGAGCATCCTGCAACATCTCACTTTAATTCCACCTAACATGTGCCAAGCACTTGTTTATATCAACAGTTCTGTCCCAAAGGGCTGCAATCCCTAAAGAGTTACACAAGTTGTACAAGACAGATTCATGTTTGTTAAAACAGTATTTGGTTTCCTTAAAGGTTCAGTGTGTAGAATTTTGTGATATCTAGTGTTGCAGTTGCATGTTGCAGCTGAACACCCCTCACCTCACCTCACCTCACCCTCTCCTTCCAAACTTGAAAAAGAACCTGTGGTAGCTTCAGTTGTCATAAAAACTCAAAAGGTGTTTAGTTTGTCAGGTCTGGACTAATGTAAAAAAAAATGGCAGAAATATAAAGTATTTAAATATAAAGGGCCTTTTCTTGTCACAGTTCCTCTCTGCCTCACCACTCTGCACCTGCCTGCTTCAATCTGCCAATCAGACACACCCCTCTCATCAAGCCAACTCCACTCACCTGTGCTCTCTGCATTTAAGCCCCAGCTCCACTCTCACTCATTACCAGATTGTTCTCGATGCTTGCACCAGACTCTCCAGCGTTTCTCTGCCTGAGCTCGACCCCGCTTATCTCCGACCATCCTGCCTGACCGATCTCCTGGTAATCAACTCAGCCTTCCGTCCCTGACCACGACCCTCGCCTGTCCCTTTCTGGATTCTGCCTGTCTGCTCCCTTGGCTATCCGGTGATTACCTGATTCAGCTCTGCATAGAGAGTGTCACTCTCGTCTCCTCTGTGGCATCCTGCAGTTCAGTGGCTCTGGCAATAAAGTTTGTTACCAACAATACCCGCCTGTCTTTGTGCTGCTATTGGGTCCAAACCACACCCATTACATTTCTGGGGTAAAGAAAACTACGATTCATACAATTTAGATGAAATGAAGTAGTGAAAACATCATGAGGATTATTCTATATTAAATGACTGCCAATAGTTCCCTTTCACCTAAATCTTTCACACTGGACCTTTAAGTCAACATAAAAGAAAGAAAAGGATAAGTCTTGTAGTCAG